ATCTCCGCCAACCTCCACTCCCTCCTGGCTCCAGCTTCTCGTATATTGCCCCCCATCCGCTCGCCCGACTTACCTTCCCCTACCCACCCCTGTGGCGGAGGGACGGATTGAGCAGGGACCGACCGTCCCGGCATTCCTATAGGCCTACCACGAAAGTTTCTCAGAACCCCCAAATGGTCAAAACAGCATTCTTAGAACATAACCCCGAGATGTTCAAACAAGACGGTCTCAGCCAGAAATGTTCTAAGAACATTTCGTGCAGACCACACCACAAGGTTTTTAGAACATTGTTCGGTGGGCCTGTAGGCAAGCTAGGACGCCTCGCCACTGCTCGAACGGAAAGGCGGTATCATGGTGGGGACGGGACATGGAGATCTCACCGCCGGCTGTCATGGCACGGGCCACGGCGGCCGTGGCGCACAACCATCGCCACTTGCGAAAGGCTCCCGTTCGAATCCGACCAATACCCTCTCAACCAACCTGCCCATGCCGCACCTCCTCTTTTTACCGCCGCCTGTCCTGGCTAGGGCCACTGCGACCGCGGCTCACAGACCCCGGTACCTGAAGCAGGCCACTCTGTCACGCACAGAATGTAAAACCAAGGCGGGTGCGAATCTAGCCGCACCTCCCGCGCTCCAACCTTTGCTTGCAGCAATCTCCGTCTCGCCGCCCCCGCCGTCTCCATTCTGCCTAACCCCCACCCGTCTCCCCAAGCTTTCCATGGGATCTCTCCGGCCACCTCGGCAGTTGAGGGTCCCCCGGTGTGGCTCGGGGTCGGGCAGGCGGGGGTTCCCAAAGGGCAGGGGAGGAGGAGGAGGAGGAGGAGGAGGAGGAGGAGGAGGAGGAGGAGGAGGTGAGTAGCGAGAGGCCCTTGAACTGGCCACCTCGGCGAGCGTGGCCTCCATCGCCTTGCCACCGCCTGGGGTGCCTGCCGCTCGCCAGCGCGATGCCGCCACCGTAGCCGCCACACCCACCTTGGCTCGCCCTCCCCTCCTTTTACACGTCGCATTAAGTCGGGCCAGTCCTTCTACAGGAGGAAGATTCAAAAATAGTGAACAATAGTCTGGGGAAGATTGTTAAACAACTGTTAGATTATTTTGAAATATTTTCGGGGTACGTTTTATTTTTCGTCCAAAATCAGCCTGTAAAGGGGCACGCTCGACCTAACCGTAGCACCCCGCAGATGCGGATAAGAGTGAGGGGGCGGTGAAGACGTCGGCAGTCTGCGAAACTCTGGAAAAGCCCGCCGCAGGCGCCACAGTTTCACAAACCATACAACGAGCCCGCCGATCTTTTCGTTAGACCAGTGTGGGTAAGTCGCGGGTGAGTCGCGGGTGGGTCGCGGGGTGGGTCGCGGGGTGGGTCGCGGGGTGGGTCGCGGGTGGGTCGGGTGGGTCGCGGGTGGGTCGCGGGGTGGGTCGCGGGGTGGGTCGCGGGTGGGTCGCGGGGTGGGTCGCGGGGTGGGCCGCGGTGTGGGTCGCGGGCCGCGGGGTGGGTCGCGGGCCGCGGGGTGGGTCGCGGGGTGGGCCGCGGGTTTTGTCGCGGGGTGGTCGCGGGGTGGGCCGCGGTGTGGGTCGCGGGGTGGGTCGCGGGTGGGACGACAACAACAACACACAAACAAACAAACAAACAAACAAACAAACAAACAAACAAACAAACAAACAAACAAACAAACACAACAAACAACAACAACAACAACAACAACAACAACAACAACAACAACAACAACAACAACAACAACAACAACAACAACAACAACAACAATCATTTTACCCGAACGCTCAGTGTTCTCACCAGTGCCAGGGTTTTCATGCGACGCGAGACAATACCCCCACTTCGTGGGGGGGCAGTTCAAGCTCTACCAAATATCCAAACGACTCTTCGCGACCACCCAAACCCAGCTTCCCGCCCTATGACGTTGGGACACTTCACTTCGTGGCGTGCGGACGACCGTGGCTACTACACTGGCGTGGGGTACACACCCACAGAACTTGGTCACTTATTCGGGGCGCGCGTGTGCCCAGCATCCTGCAATTGTGACATACAATACATGACACAGACAGACAGAGAGAGAGACAGAGAGCAGACAGAGAGAGAGACAGAGAGAGCGGAGTTGGTCACATTTTTGGGGCAAGTTCCTGAGATCGTCGTGTTTTTTGTTGGTCTTGCGCGCGCGAATGTCCACTTTACTTTTTTTTGCAAGGGAATGAAATTTGATTATGTTAGAACAAGAAAAAGTAGCTCGCGCGAGCTCATGTAACATAAATGTTGAAAAACCATTGGTTTTGTGGGAGTCGGACAGCGCGCGCGGGATGAAATTTGGACATTTTTTTTTGAAAAACCATTGGGTTTTTGATGTTTTTATGTTGAAATCGTTACGAAACCTAAGGTTCTGGAAGGATTTCGTCTTGCGCGCGCGAATGTCCACTTTACCTTATTTTTTGCAAGGGATTATTGAAATTTGATTATGTTAGAACAAGAAAAAGTAGCTCGCGCGAGC